CTAACATACGATGCCTTTACACATTACTTTTCATGGGACGGTCAGCGCTGGCCACAGTAACTTCATCCGGCCGCGCGACGGGCCACACTAACATTCAACGGGCCACACTAACACCCAACGGGCCACAGTAACAACCGGTCGCGAGGGAGACGGGGGCCCCTGAACGGTGTCGTGATCACACCGTGTTGTGAGTCGGTAGGGGGTCGGGGTCACCGCACGGTTCGGGCTCCTCCTCCGCCTCCTGCTCCTCCTCCTCGCTCCTCCTCCTCGCTCCTCCTCATCCTCGCTCCTCGCCGCTCCTCCTCTTCGTCCTCCTCCTCCTCCTCCTCCTCCTCCTCCTCCTCCTCCTCCGTCGGGGGCACGCTCGACCGAGCACGCGCGACTTGGGTCGTTTTCCGAGGATGTCTCGGACGGCTTGGGCATCCAAGGTCCCAAAACCGTGTGGTGACAGATCGCGCGGTGAGGTCCTTCAGGATTTTGAGGTCACCGCACGGTCTGCCACAGTAAGGTTTTAGGACCCCAGGAGGGAGACGGGTCCTGAGCTTCTTCGCCGTTTTCGGGCTCTCGCGGCTCCTCCACGGGCCCTGGGACCGTCAGAAAACGATCCAGGATGAAGAGTTGGCCCTGGGGGAAGGCCCCAGGGTCCAGGACCCGTTTCCCTCAGGACCCGTTTCCCCCGTGCTAAGGCACGAGGCGCGAGGTGTTCCAGCCTCTCCTCCTGCTAGCTCTAGGTCTCCCAGGTGGGGTCCAAGTATAGATGTGGTCGGTGGATCGCGCCGCGATGCCGAGGCGTCGCCGTGGCGGCTCGATGTGGAGCTCGAGTTTCTCCACTCCGACGTCGCCGATGCATCGCCGACGTTGCCGACGTATTACCGACGCATCGCCGATGCATCGGCGATGCGGCGCGATCCTCCGACCCCATCTACACCCATTTGAGATCTTAAGAACTAGCACGAACGTTCATGGACTCCAATTTCCCTGTTTAGGAAATCAAGGATCTAGGCCTGGGCCGTTGTTTTTTCCTGGAGCTTCTTATACCTTCGTCGAATGTCCGTAGATCTGGGCCTGGACTGCGATTTTTAAGACAATGCTTCGAGTGCAGTCCATCTTCTTCTCGCGCAGAATGTGCGTAACTCTCAGCAGGGGCCTGCTCGGACCCGATGTGGGAGGCCTCTATGCTCGGGGAGCCAAGGTGGCCGTCGAGTACCGCTCGGTCGGCGGAGCCTCCGCGCACGGCGTGGAGCTCCCGACGAACTCCACCCTCTCCTGGGAGGGGGGCCTGGCCCAGGTTCGGGGGCACGGCAACGACTCTCGCTCCCCTGAGATCCTGGCGATGCAGTTTCTTCTCCACCGGCGCTTTCGCCCGGTTTCGGGCCCTGGGAAACTCGCAGATCGATCCAGCTCGGAGAGTGGCGCAGAAAGATGGTGTCTATGGCTCTGGTCGCGAGCTTTTCACGATGCTGCAATTCTTTCGCAACGTCGGATCTCAGGGTCCTTCGGTAGCAAATCACGGAAGCCTTTGTGCACCCTCGCAAGCCCGTCTTTGGAACGCACCGGCGTCGACTAGCGTCTGGGAATCAATGAGACACCGCCGGTTTAGCGTCGAGTTGCGTCGACTAGCGCCGACTGAGCGCCGACTGAGCGTCGACAAGCGTCGATTAGCGTCGAGTCGCCACTGGCAGACACGCCGGGGCGGCGGCGGCGGCCGCGGCGCGCGGCCCGGTCGCGCCGCCCAGGCCGCGCCGGCCAACCACGAGCCCAGACCCCAGGGGGAGGAGGCCCGGCCCGGGCGATGGCGTGAGCCAGTGGCTGCGGTCCACGCGCACGCGCACACACATAAAACGACGCGAAGATCGGGACAAAATCGGATCGGGATAACTCGAAATCTCTGAGAATCGGCGGGTTTGGAGGATGTATTGGGCGCCGCGGCCGCTCCAGAGCGTTCCGGAACGCTCTGAGAGCGCTCCGGAACGCTCTGGAGCGATTTATCCCGATCCTAGCCCTGTTTTAACACGCACTCACGCACACGCCGATCTTTGGTCCAGTCTTGCAGGCCCCCCCAACGGCCTGAGCAGGTGGGGTTGGACGACCACGCCGCATCGGCGATGCATCGGCGATGCGGCGCGATCCGGAGAACGACTCGCTCCGCGCCGATGCATCTCCGATGCGGTGCGATCCTCCGACCTCATCTACTTCAGCTCCGTGTGGAGGCCGCCGAGAATGGTTGAACGTCCCAAGGCGGTGCAGTGACCACATCGTCCCGTGAGTCAGTGGGGAGTCGGGGTGAGCGCACTGTCTCGGGACTGGGGTCGTTCACCGAGGATGTCTCTGGCAATTGGGGCCCCCAAGGCCCCGAAACGGTGCGGTGACGGACCGTGCGGGGAGGTTTCTCGGGTTCACCACATCGCTTTTGGACCCTCAAAGGCAACGGGCGCATCACATAAGAAATTGGCCCATCAACGGGTGCCGCGCCACGAGAATTTTTGACGTTTCTGGCCGAAACGCGGTACAATGACCGGAAATCAGTCCAAACTGCGCTCTCGCCCTGGCGCGGGCACACCGCCGGCGTCACCTGCGCGCCGTGGCCAGTTCAGGAGCGAATCGTGAGGATGTCTGAGCCGAAGCTGGCTTCCGGCCAGGTGGCGCCACGCGAATCAGCCTTCCAAAACCAACGGTTTTGTACAGATGTCCGGCAGCTGTGCTGCGATGTGCTGCGTTCCGGCGGGCACAGTATCTGCTCAATGGGCGCGCCGAACCCTGGAGCGCCTCACGAGAAGGCTCAGAGTCGACGAAAAAAAACCCAGATGTCTCATAGCAATACTTTTTGGGCGGCGAGATCTAAAAGAGGCGTTCCAGAAAGGACCTCGACTTCCAGGGCAAGGTAGCGGAAGTAAAACGAGGGCGGCTCCGATTGCGGAAGCCTGCGGAAGGCTGGCGGAAGTCATCGGAAGGAAGACTTGCCTTCCAAGAGATGGCATTGTTTTGTGGTTCAGGGCCTGCGGAACCTGCCACATATCCACTGCCCATGGCCAGGCCCTTCTTGGGCCAAGGCGCGGTGTATGCATGTGCCTCCCTGGCCAAACCAGAACGGCTTATGTACCGCTTTGGGGCCCAGGTTGGGCTTGGCCAGGAGCAGTGGATATGGACAGTATAGATCTCGTCGCCCTAGACTTCTCATTGGATCTGCCCACTGTATTCGGACGGGGCTGGGACGAGGATCAATCCTTCCAGAGCGTTCAGGCCGGGGCGCCCGAGACATCCTCCAGAGCCGCCGAATCTAAGATTCGTGGTTCATCCTGACCCGATTTCATCCTCGTCCTGGCTTCGTCTGATGTGTGGGCCCGTGCCAGTGCGGATAAGAAGTTGGCGCCTTCCGAAGGTCTACTCGAGCGCCGACGCCGGAGGCTCGGAACCATGGGAGGGCCTTCCCGCGGGGCACGCCGCGGGTGTGCTGACCTTCAGCGGCGTGCCGCTCGCGGGGGTGCTGACCTTTGAGTACGGATGCGTCGGCTACCCGCCGGTCGTCGGAGAAGAGAAACGGCGCAGGCACAGGTTTTCGGAGGCCCGCGCGGATTTCTCGGGGCGGCGCTGGGACCCTCTTTGCGGCGACTCTGGCGCCGCCAGCGCCGACCGAACAGATCCGCGAGGGCCTTTGAAAGTCCACCTATCTATACAGCTGCCTGCGGCGAACTCTGCCACCGTGCCTGTTCAACAGCGCAGCAGGAAGGAGACTGTGTAGGAACAGCGCATTTTCGACGACTGGTCTGAACTGGGAAGGGCGTGACCTCGACCTCGTCTTCGTCCTCGCGGTATGAAGGAAGAAGAGGACGAGGGGGAGGAGGAGAAGCAGGAGGAGGAGGAGAAAGATATGGAACATCTGAAGACGATGAGGAGAAAGCCTCATGTGCCCATTTCTGGGGGCCTCCTCGATGCTTCCTGTGAGCTTCTTGGGGGCCTCTTGGGGCCTTCTGGGTGGGGCCTCTCGGGGCCTTCTTGGGGCCTCCTGGGCCGTCTCCGGGAGCCGTCGTGGTGCTTTTTTGGAGCGCTGTAGGGCCGCCTTGGGGCCCATTTGCGAGCCTCTTTGGCGATCTCGGGGCCCTCTTGGGAGCCTCGCGGGCCGTTTTGGAGCTATCTTGGGGGCCTCTTTGGCCGTCTTGAGCGATCGGAGAGCCAAGTAAGCGAGAACCTCAAAATCCCACAACAACCCGATGGTAATCGATGATGCTCCCTCCTCTGGCTCTCCTGGAGGGCCTCCTAAAGCCTGCCTGATGTTTTCGGAGGCCGTCTTGAGCGCCTCTCTGGGCCATCTTTGTGCACCCTTGGAGCGCTTTAAGGCCGCTTTTGGGCCTTCTTGAGAGCCTCTTGGACGATGTTTGGGTCCTCTTGGGCCGATGCGGGACCCTCTTGGGAGCCTCGCGGGCAGTCTTGGAGCTATCTTGGAGGCCTCTTCCGACCTTCTCTGGGTTGCTCATGATGAGGGTGGCTCTTTTTCCCCACCCGACGGGTTGGGGCCCGTAGATTTGAAGAGGATAGTTCCCAACCCGTCGCGCCCACCCTGCATAAGCACCGCGGCCGCCAGGCACGAAAGGTCCTGGTGCTCCCTGGGTATTCCGCCCCGCGTCTTCGACGCATGGCGGCTGCACGCCGCGGCCGCAAGGCGCCAAGGGGCCTAGTGCTCCCTGGGGATTCCGCGTCGCGCTCTCGGGTGGGGATCCCTCGAGGAGGCACAACCTGTCGTGAACGATGGCCCTCTTGCCCTCTGCCTCTGCTGCTCTCTCCAGATCGTGTCCGTAATCCGACGTGGAAGATGGCTCTCTCCTCTGCCTCTGCGGACGTGAAGATGGCTCTACCTCTCCAGGTCATGTCCGTAATCCTCTGCGGACGTGAAAGATGGTTCTCTCCTCCTGTCGTGTGAGATGGCTCTCTCCTCTGCCTCTGCGTGAGGAGGCCCTCTGCCTCTGCCGTTTTCTCCCATGTCACGTCAGCGTCGCGGTGGCACGCCCCGGTGGGGAGGCAGATCGGGGGCGGGCCCCCTCGGAGTGCTCAGAAGCCCCCCGCGGCCTTCCGAGAAGCTTTCCGAGCCTCCCCCGAAGCGACGGGCGGCTTCTCAGAAGGCCAGAGGGCTTCTGTCAGCGTCACCCCAACATACTTGTACTATATGTGCGTCGCCCCCCCCAGGGGCGACGCGCGCACAGAGAAATCCTGTGGTATATGCGTCGTGGCGGACGCTTTCTGGCCGTACCGCTCGGGAAGCGATACGCTACAAGATGGGCATACTACACGCTCGGGTCGGACGCGCGCCTCCGAGGCGGACACCTAGTATCAGTGTGTGTCTCTGTGCGCCCCATTCTCAGCAGCCCCGCCGCCCTCCGGAGAGGCCTGCGGCCCCCCCCTCTCGCCGCCCCCTCCCCCTCGGCGCGCCGCCGCGTGCCGTGCCCTCCCGCTCCAGGTCCGCGTCGCGGTGGCGCGGGACTCTGCCCCCGAGCGCGGGGCCGCCAGCACCTCCGACCCCGCCGGCGACTCCGAGGGGGAGGCGGCAGGCGCGGCGGCGCCCGCTGAAGTCACGCAGGCGATGGTCCCCTCGCCTGCGTGACATAGCGATGCGATAATAGCGTCTTGTGCGCCTGGGTTTGGCCCCCCCCGCGGCAACCCAAAAGTCGCGCACCAAGGGTCACTCTTGCCCAGGGTCACTCTTGCGTGTGGCCGGAGGACGACGACGTCTGACGACAGCGGCGGTGGCGACAGTCGGGCGGGCGGTACTGGGAGGTGACCCGCACTGGGGGCGTGGATTAGCGACTGGTCCCATTTCCAGGGTCAGTGGCACCGTAACGGGTACTCACAAACGGGTACTTTGGAGATTTGCCGAACGTTGCCACTTTGGGGCCTCTTTCTGGCAGTGCAGCGTTGCCCGCATCGGGAAGGGTTGGGTTCGCTGGGTCACTGGCCAAAGTACCCGTTAGTGGAGTCCCCGTTTGTGGGGCGCTGACAGGGGAAAACGCGGATGTCCGCCGCCGAACGAGGCGGCGACCGGCCGCATTCTGGGGAGGGCACCTCCCCCGATCCATGGATTTGGCGACCGCGCGCCAAATCCACGGATCGCTAATCCATGTTTGCGCGCCCCCGAAAACCGGCCCCGCGCAGAGGGGGCTTCTGAGAAGGCGCGGGCCTGGCCTGTGGATGCAGGGCCGGCGCCTTCTGAGAAGCATGGGGTGAAGCCTTCCCCCCCCCCTTCCATGCTCCCCCGTGCGCACCGCCGAAGAAGAGAGGGCGCCTTCTGAGAAGCGTGGCGTGCTTCTAAGACGCCTTCCCCCCTCCCCCCCTGCCACCCCCCCCTGTGCGCAGTGCCACAGACGAGGGCGGCGGGGGCGAGGGCGGGCTGCCCTCCGCGGGCAGCTCCGGGCCCCTGGGGGCCCGGCATGCCTCGCTCGCCGAAGACGTGGGGCGGGGTCCCCAGGGCAGGGCTCGGCCCGAGCGGTCTTTGGGGCATTACAGTCGGGGCGCTGAAGAAGGAATCCTTTTCGGTGGGGAGGGGCTCCGCGTTCCTCAAGTGTTTCACAGCTTGCCTCAGGTTTTCCTTATGTTTTCGATAGGAAATCGAAGTTTAACTTACGGGAAAAAGGGGCCTCGTTCCTTATTTAAGGTTCCTTAGGTCAACGCCCCGACTGTATTTTTTTGTAGATCGTGTTCGTGTAGATTCGGTTTCGCAGCATATGAGGGTCGAAGACAGACCAGGGGTGGACCTAAACGGTGTTTCGGCGATTTCGTGGGCCGTTTTCGTTTCGATTTCGTTTTGCGTTCAGGCCGGATTGAAGACAACACGAGGGAAGACAAACATAACACGAAAACGAAAAACACCGTTTAGGTTCAGCCCTGCGACGAACCGAGGGAGCACGGAAACAAGACGAAGCCTAAAGTCACCGTTCAGGTCGAGCCCTGCCCCAGGGGGCACGGGGCCCCCTGGGGCCTCGCGGCCGCGGCATGCAGCCGTCCGTCGCTCGTCGAGGGCTCCAGGCGGGATGCCCAGGGAGCACCAGAACCCTGTGGGGCTGGCGGCCGCAGTGTGCGGGGTGGGCGAGGCGCGTCGGGAGCCCTTCTCTTTAAATCTGACCCCCTGTCGGGGCTCCCTTCGACTCCTCCGAGTCGGTTCGATTCGATTCTGGTGGATTCCGATTCCGCTTCGATTCGACTCCGGGCTCCGATTTGGACCCCGATCTGTCAGTGGAGGCCTACTGGCCTGCCGATTTCCGCCGACTCGGCTTCTCCTGACTCGGCTGCCGATCTCCGCCGATCCGATTCATTTCGATCGCCCATTCGACTCATCGATTCGATTTTGGGCTCTCCTACCCTGTCGGTTCGGAAACAAACGGCATAGGCGCACATCTCATCGCCCGCGTTCTCGTAAAATGTCCTCGTCGTGCCCCGTATGAATCGGCCATTCCTCTCGGCATTCCTCTCTTCCCCCCACCACTCCCTCTCCCTCCTTCCCTCCAACAAGAAGTAATGACATCACCATAAGCTCTCGAAGGTCCGCGCGGATGTCTTGCATCGGCGCTGGGCGCCAGACAGGCCGGTGCATCGCCGACTCAGGAGATCCGCGCGGACCTTCGAACACTTCTTATGCAGTTTCTCCTTCTACTCTCAGGAGGTTTCGTGCCTTCTGAGAAGCCTCTACGGCCGCATTGGGTTCCCCCCGCCCATTTAGGCAGACCCCTCACACGCGCCGTGACCCCATATGGAGCTCCGCCTACCGTCTCGGTGTTCGCTGACGCGTGGCGGCGCCGCACCATTCCGGCACGCCCCTCACTTGCGTCGTGGCCCCACAGGAAAGCCCACCCACGGCCCCAGGGGCATGGCACCGCATGGCGGCGCCGCCGATTTCGGCCCACCCCTCACACGCTTCATAACCCCATCGGGAGCTCCCCCTACGGCTCCGGTGGGAGGGTGCGCTTGGAGGCGTGGCCCGCTTGGCGGCGAGTCGTGCTCCTTAGGGGACTCCACATACGGCCTCCGTGGGGGGGTCAGCATTGCGGCGCCGCCCATTTCGGTGCACCTTTCGCACGCATCGTGGCATCATATAGAGTGGAGCTCCACCTGCGGCCCCAGTGGCAGAGTTCGCATGGCGGCGCCGCCCAATTCAGCTCACCTCGCTCGAGGATCGTGGCCACATATGGATCTGCACATACGGCCCCAGTGGGAGGGTCCAAATGGCGACGCCGCTCACTGTGAGCTCACCTGCGGCCACAATGGGAAAGTTTGCGCGCGTACTTCAGCCCGTTTCGGCGCACCCCTCACGCAAGCTCTGCCTACGGTCCCAGTGGCAAAGTGTGTATGGTTTCCCCGTGTATTTCGGCGTACCCCTTCTACGCTTCGTGCCCCCACACGCCATGGTGAGCTCCACATGCGGCACCAGTTGGAACGTTGGATGCGCCCCCCATTCATTTTGGCACATCCCTTACACGGGAGGACCACAGAGAGATGCATCAACGTTCTGCGCATGAATTTGCTAAGGGCTGGGTTCATCGCCATGTTTTTTTCAGCCCTGGCGATCTCATCCCAAGTGTCTCGGGCTCGTTTCAGCCCCTGCCGGTTCTTCCAGTCCTGGTCAGATCAGGCGATCAAAACGTCTTGATACCGGCACGTTGCAGGACTTCCAGGTTTCCCGTTTCCCCATTGTCCCTCGAGACGAGGGCTGCTAGATGTCTCGCTCCTGGAACCCATCCTGAGCCAATCAGGCAGGGCCAGGATGAGGATACTCCTTCCAGAGCGCTCTCGGAGCGTGCCAGAACGCTCTGGAGCGGCCGCTGCGCCCTCCAGACCCGTTGGTTCTCAGACATTTCCGATTGGACGCCGTCCGTTCTGTTCGCGTCACAAGGGCAGTCTATTGGAGCGGCGGGCACGGCCGACACGGGGTCACGCAGCCCCGTTGGGTCACGGGCCCATCACGGGTTCACACCAGCTCTGTTGGGCTGGTGAGGGCTCCTCCGAGGGCTCCCGAGAGGGTCGCGCAACATGCCCGCCAACACGGGCGTGTGTGACTGCCGCAAACTGGCACCGCTGCAACATGGTCGCGGCCATTGGTCCTCCAGATTTGTCCTCATCCCGCCTTCTCTTGATTCCTGAGAAAGTCGCATCGTGACATCATTCTCGCCCGACGGTCCATGCGCTGACATAGGGAGCAGCTCGGATTCGGCAGGGTCTCGTTGCTCCCAGGGGGCCTTCCATGGTCGCTCCCGCAATTAGCGCTCCTCGTGCACCCAGGCGCCGTTGGGGCCCAAAAGGGGCTTCGTTCCTGGCTCAACGCTCCTGATAGTAGCAGCTTGACCGTAGTCAACAGGTCCTGGAACGCAACCTGAGCCAGCCGTGTCATGAAATCATCCACGGGGCCCGAAACATACACCACCACCACCACCACCACCACCACCACCACCACCACCACCACCACCACCACCACCACCACCACCGCTTTCCTCACCCCCTCCCTCTCCCAGGAAAGAGGATGGGAAGAGGAGGGTGGAGGAGGGAGGGGGAATGGAGGTGGTGGTGGTGTATATTCTTGGGGCCCGCATAATCCCCGCCCCATGCTCAGACGGCCTCCTCCTCGCCTGGCCTGCCTCCCTTCCCCAGACCCCCGGCCTCGCGATTTTGTCGGAACATGAGCCCCTGGAGGTCTCCACCCCTTCCCGGGGACCAGTTCCTCATCCCGGATCGATTTCTGGCGGCTTCCGAGCCCGTCGAGGGCCCCCGTGGCAGAATCGTCGCGAGTTGTGTCTTGGAATCCACTGCTCCTCTGTTATGAGGCAGTTGTGTAGGAGAGGGAACAGAGGACATAGTGTTTACACATCTTGGAGGAATTCGTGAATTCAGTATGGGTCGGGCTTGAAGTGCCTCGAAGAAAGCGCGCGCACCCGAATCGCAGGCATATGGCTATATGCGGACCCGGGACAGTTTGCTTCTCATCGTCGTCCTCGCCTTTGCTCCGTTCCCCTTCCTTTCTTCCCTCCTGGATGGTGTCGAAAGCGTCCGCGGCTCGGGCGGGGGAGCGCCCCTTCCCACCTCCCTCATTACTCCTCGGTCCTATTTGCCTCCCTGCTCCACCGTCCGTCGTCCTACCTCGTCCTCCAAGTCCCTGGTGCCGCGTGCCCGTATCAGCGGTATATCGCCTTTTCGATGTCCGAGCGCAGCGGCGCAACCTAACAGAGGGGATTGCCAATGCGAGCTTTCGGGGCGCACTCCAAACGCGGGCGGCGTGGCCGCCGAGTACAGTCGCATCGCTAGCATGTAAAGTATAAGTGCTTGCGGCAAGGTCAGCCCCCTTGCCAGAGCAGTGGTCTGTATGGCGACGCGTGGAGCTTTGACTGTTAAGAGGTCCATGACATGTGACACCTCGCGTGTATTCGGACTGCTGTGCGGCATTCTTTGGGGTCCTTCGAGGCCTTTTGGTACGTTTTCGGGCCGTTGGGGGCCGTTTTGGTGCCGCGCTACACCGCGGCCGCCCTGGGCCAGGGAAGCGTGTATTTGCAGCTCACTCGGGGGCGCTCTGGGCTGGGGAAGTGTGTATTCGCATTCCCCCCTAGCTGGGCATGTCGATCACGG